GTATGCTGATGATGTCATATTACTAGCACGTGATGCCACTAGTTTACAGAAACACCTCGACACTTTGGCTAGCTTTTGTACTCAAAATCAGATGGAAGTCAATTTGGAGAAGTCCAAAGTCATTCTTGTGGGCACTAGATCCAAGCTCTCTTTCTGTTACAAAGGATTAGAGTTGGAACAAGTGAAAAGTTACAAATATTTGGGCATTGATTTCTCATCTGATTATAGTTGGGCACTTTGTGTGCAAAAGAGGGTAGAAGCTGGTTTCAAAGCTCTATATTCATTGCTAAATAGATGTAGAGGAGCTCATCTAGTGTCTTGGAGTCTTAGGAAATTCTTATTCAGGAGCCTAGTGTTTCCCGTTATCTTATATGGAACACAAGTGTGGGGTCCTGGTTGTAAGAAGACAGGTTGGCAGCGTTTGGAGAGGGTGCAAAAGATCTTCTTACAAGAAGAATTGGGTGTGAGGACCCAAACTTCTTATGCAATGCTTCTTGCGGAAACAGGTTGTCTACCTCTTGAGGCTGAAGCTCTCTTTTTGACTATCACTTACGTCAAAAGAGTGAGATCTCTAGATACTTCTCGACTTCCTCTTGAAGCTTTGCGTGCCACACGACCCAAGGGCTGGTTTGCAGATGTGGTGACTTGGTCTTTGAGGTGGAATGTGACGGAACTCGATTGGAATTTGCAACCTATTGCCCTACGCGAGCGTATTAAGGAGGAATTTCTCAGCATTATGTGGAGCACACGAGGCACCAAGATGCAGTTTTATCAACTTCATGTGAATCCTATGCTTGTTTATTGTGAGCAAGGATATTTACTTGCAGAGATATCTACTTCTTTACGTCATATTATTGCTAGACATAGAACTGGATCTCATAGTCTTGGGATTGAAGAAGGGCGGTGGTTGAACATTGATAGGAGTGAACGTATTTGTAGGCTATGTGATGGAAGAAAAGTTGAGGATGAAGAGCATGTATTTCTTACTTGTTCTAGGTATGTAGAGATTCGAGTGGCGCATAAAGTTGATGTCGAGAATTTCTTTTCTCTGCTTCAACTCGAGCCTTATGATTTAGGTTGTTACATTAGAGATATTATTAGTTATCGTTCTAGTGCTTTGGGCACTAGCTAGGGGGTTCTTTTGGTTCTCTCCTAGTTTGGAGTTGGTTTGTTTGTATTGTGTTTTTTAGCCTTTTGACCCTTTGGGTCCCACGGGCTTGATCTATTTACCATTTACCATAGTATTGATTAATTTATGTATAACAAGAGATTGAAGTATTCAAAATTTATGATGTTTTATGTGTTTTATTTTTCTTTAATTTTTTTTATGAAAATAAATAAATTATAATTAAAAATAGGATAAATTTAATATCATCATTTTATAATTTCAAAAATAAAATATTTGAAGTTTCCCACAAAATATATTATTCATAATAGGGACTTTTTGAAAAAATTATTCTTTATATGAACTGAAGTTTTGAAATATTTTTAAAAAATAAATTTAAATGAAATTCAATTTTTTAAAATACTTGTGATTATTTCATGTAAAAAATGATAGAATATATTTTGTTCAGCTGAAGAGATTCAGGAATAAATATGCATTGATTTATTTTTCAAATCATATTTTCAATGAATAAAACTATGACTACGTGTTAGGAATATCAACACTTTTATATAAACTGATAAATTTATTTAGCATTATCTTAGCACCATCGCCAAAACTATGTCACTTCGTCAAGTCCGCGTTCATAAACTATGTACCGCAGATAGTTCCTGAAGTGTGATATCACCCGTCGTACACTCATCGCAATAACTCTGATCAAGTTTAAAACTTTGGAAGGAGTAATACAGAACTGTAATGAAGATTTACGTTGCTTGGTTACAGTGCATGGTAAATGGTTGTGAGGTAACTAGTGTCGTCCCTGTTTATAAAGTAAGATGCTTGTCATGATAACTTTAGGACAGTACGCTTATATAATTGATGAGCTCAAAATCTGGAGCAGCACATTAATACATATCACATCCACTAGTTAAGTCATGTAAATGATGGATAATATCTGGTAAAATCCCTAGTTAATGATAAATTCAGACCATAATTCCATCTCTAAAATCATATAGACGAAAAGTACGTTTACACAGACAGGATTTGCATGGGTAAATCGGTGCGTGGCACGTAACCCACGCACTTAAATATTGCAGATATGAACTTTTAATTGAAGTGATGGATGCTACAAGTAACAGGGTGACAAAGTGAATTATGTAGCCAACTGAGGGGGGCATGAAGTAATGAGATTGAAAACCAAGTAAAAGTCGCAGCCCAGATTATAATGGATGCACATTATAAGGAAGGCTGTTCTGCAACAACGGCAGTTATGGACGAATGGGTATCAATGTTATTAATCTAAAACAGGACATATTACATCTTTAAACAGGACAGATGAGGTTTAAAGGATTAACAAAAAGAGTAGTTGTACTTAAGCTTGAGAAATGGAAGAAATCACTTGATGGAGCCCTGGGAAACTCAACCCTCTTGAAGGGACCCAACGGACCGTTCTCCGGCCGTGCAACCATGTTTCAATAACAATCTTTATAGCCCGCTAAGTTTCTCATTGTGTCTGTCTGTCACTATCGGCCAGAGTATTTTGGCGACTCGTTCTCGGCTATAAAGATCTTAGAAAACTACGGTCCCCATGAGTAAGAAGTATTTCCAATGTGGTCTTGCCAAGACCAGATCCAGTAACCCCAGATCGTATTGGAACATCACTGAGGGTGGACTGGAAGCTCGTAGATGGGAAACCATATGATAAATTGAAACTTGTTGGCTCTCATCAATTAATTTTCTTTGAGAAATGATCCTCAAATACGTTCAATTTGATCCCCGAACTTAAAATTTTGGATTGTAATACCATTGATAAGAGATTGTTTTTACGTCTACCAACGTAGGCAACTTTGCAGAAGTAGGTATATATTATTTGGAATCGGTCATATGAAATCAGGCCCGGGGATGAAAGAGAAGCATGAAATGTCTTGATAAGGCTAAAAACCTCCCACGTATTTTTTAATACTTGTTTTACCCTTAAATTTTCAACCTCAAAACTGTCTCGAGATCTGCGACCTCCTGAAGTCAAGCAGACATCAAAGACATAAAAGAACTCAAGTAGTAGGAAGAGATAAGTTCTCAGTACTAGTCAGCTCAAACATTCATAAACAATCTCCACAAAAGAGTTTTGAGCTTTCTGGTATGGTAGACTTGAGTACTTGTAAAAGATGCGCTGTTGTAGGTTGTCTTCTTTGTACTGGATGCTCTGTCTTTCTTCTACAGCACGTCATCACTTGCATGTCAGAAATGGTGAACATTGCAGTTGCTTTAGCAAGACACGAGTCTCCTTTATCATCGCCTGCTTTGTAGCAAGACATATTGATGACCTCAACTAGGATGTCGCGTACACAAAACTTTGATTACTGGAACAAAAATCTGCCCAAGACTTCGCAAAAGCTTGACTTCGGTCCCAAGAATACTTTAGAGTGGATTGCAGCTCATTGATTCCAAAAGATGCCATTTGCGGAAATCTCATCATTTAAGAACCATCCTTGTTAACAGAGCTGAACTTGATGACCCATATACCTAGCACATAAATTGTGAGTCACATAAGAAGATTTCTGTGTGGAAATTGATTTGCACTTATATATGGAAATAGAAACTAAACCGGGCAGGTTACTATATTGTCTTGCCTTCAACACAATCATGTACTGCACATGTTCGTTACTGCAGTGTGCTCTATTCTTGAGAAACCTTATTGTAATATGTTCAATGTTCTGATGATAGTCTGAAGATTAGTCTTGGCCACGTACTGCAGCTATGAAGCATGAACACGCATTTGCAGTACACTGGGACACTTATCAGTTTCGTGACTCGTGATGTCGGAGATTGTTAATTGACATCGTTTAAACTGTAGCAAATCGGTTGTTACATCAATAAGTAGAGGAACTGTGGTTGATGTTCTTAAACGATAGTACAAGCTGGTCACGTGGGTCAAACGGACCAGAGGAGGAAGGGGGAACGCAGTGCATACATTTCCTCACGATCATCTACCATCCAGTTGATAAGATTCAGACTTTACGTCGTACCAGTGATACAGAACCAATTCTCTCCGTGACAGAAGCTGGGACTGTCTTTTGAGTGGGAAGACTAGACGCCACATTCTTCATGAAGAAAGTACAATTGTGCTCGATCAACAGCAGTACTCAAGTTTGGCAGAAGTCTTCTGCGGGGCAAGGTCTATCATTGAATTGGCGGATCAGGACAGCGTCAATGCATCGAGGAATTTAGATTGAGGTTTCCAGAGCTAAACCCTTTGATGATGCCTTTACATATAATAAGCTAAATGCTGTGAATGCAATATGTGCTGCTAGATATAACGGTGACAGTATCGGAATTCTCTACTATTAAGAGTCCGCAGTCTTATATATGTTTAACGTTTCATTGGCAGACCCTGTTCTACTCATTTGTGGCACTGACCATTCTACTGGGGTTATACTAGTTCTGGATAAGTGATCTCTAGTAGAGTTAGTTGGCGCAGCTTGTCCCGTAACATGACTACGTAGCATTGATAGATTGTCACTTCGTACCTTCCTTCCCAGCTTGCAGAGATCGTCACTTTTACTCAAAGTCGATGAAACTGGATTTGCTCTGTCATACTGTCAGTTTGATGTATTCACCTTCTAGTTCTTTTGCTTTTCAAGGACCTCTGAAACGTGGGCCTCACTTGTGCATTTCAAGTGCCGACACAAGAAGTTCAAGGCCTACCTAGAGTAGAACATATGTGATCCAACTGCCCTCATGTTTCAGAACTGATTACAAGTTGTCGATGCCATGTAGAACTCAAAAGAGAAGGGTAAAATCTGATGCTAGACGTCACACTTATATTGTGACCAATTAATATGTTAAATGTCCTGCCAGTCCAATCCTTTTGCATGCACTCCACAGCAGCTCACACGCACTCTGGATTGCCTTCATGGCACGGCTGGAAGAGAAAGCTCAGGCGTTGTCTACAGTATGGTCCAGTTTCCCTGGTAGGTTGCATGAACTTCCCTCCCTGAATCTGAGACAACAATCCAGCAATCAAACCTTCAAGATCACCGAGGATAGTCGAATAAATCGACGTCGTTATTCTTCACTTCTTGCATGTTTAATCAGGAGGTTTTAAGCTCAAACCAGTGTAATCATGGGATCTAGCTCAGTACGTGGCCCAATAACCACGTGTTCACGGGCACAGGTGCAGCTACATGGCCAAGTCCAGATGTACCTTCCAAAGCTGCTCCTGCTGAAGAATCTTCTCTGTGGAATCAGAGTTCTGCAGTTCTCGTCCGTCGACTTTAGGGTTGAGTCCAGTCAAAACCTGGTCGGTACAGGTAGTGCTTGTCAGTTGCAGCCTGTTAGGAATAAGTTGGAGATTTCTTATGGACCATTTGGTCTCACTTCATCACTTTCCTCGTGGCAGAAGTTCCTACTCGTCGCTAGCTCCAAATTGTAGATGCCATATCCACATGGCTCTGAGATGGGGGTACTCTGGATGAGCCCTCCTCATCGCCATGCCATGCGAGACAGGTGACTATTGTCTCACCGACCTTCATCTGCATCACCAAATGTGACGACACTGCCGTCGAAATCGCTTGGACATAGTCACCGTTGTCACCACCATTGGCCAGCTCCGGTGACCAATCTTCTAGCTGAGTGGGCATAATGCGGCAGTCCTTGATGAAGTTTATCGCGGCAAAGTTTCCTACCGATGGATGAGCCAATGAGAGATCTGCCATCAGAGAGGCAGTCCAGTCTTCATCCTTCTCATCCATCCTTCCATCAGATTGGCATGTGTAGAGGCGGTCACGCTTTCTGAGTCGGTTTGACTAGTCAAGATGTCGCGTACAACTGTATGAGCAATTAAGAAGTTGCATTGAAGAGGATATGCCCACAGATTCTATGCCATAGACTCATCCAGATTCTTGATCTATAGAATCTGCTACAAAAGCGCTGTGTCGTTTTCTCCTCCTCCCTCCATTCAAGCGTAACAAAAGTCGGTCCGTACAGCTCTTAGCTTGGTAATTGCAAGTTAGGCATCATGGGTGTGACACTGATAAGTACCCGATCTCAATCATCTCCAGCATACAGTAGTAGGCGTACTGAATCCTACTGATGCTCTGCTGCTGGTGCCAGTGACTTATGTCGAGGAATCGTTCCCACCACCGAAGCAATCAAGGGTGAGATCACATCCAATACCCTTCCGCCATCTCATGTAGAAGATCGAAGTACTGGGGCCTGGGGTTTCGTTCCATGCTATTCCTTTGCTGACAATTGGTCAAGATAATCAGATGATATGTTTCTTTCAACCCACTAGTTTCAACATGCGAATTCCGTTATTTGCTGTCGCAGTATTTTATCTCTGCCATTGCGTTGGAGTTTGTAGTAGACAAACGCTCTTGCAGTGGGTCTAGACACTACTACATTCATCTTCATCAGTGGACCTTGGATCTCTTGGCTGCAGGTACTCTCAGGGGCAAGGTTTCGACATTGGAGACGATAGCACGTTTGCATTTTCTTCATTCGAAAGATCCAGGATGACTTCGGGCTAAAAGCCCCTTTTTTTCACTCATTCATCTTTTTTCAAATCGCCTCTCGATAAGGAAGAGTGATAGACCTTGCATTCTATGTTCAACTCTTTGTCGCCGTCATCATGTTCTCGACGCAAATGTCAGGTGAGAAATTCAACGAATGCAATGGAACGCTTTGCCTTGTGTACCACTAGATAAGCGCTATACAAGGAAAAATAAACGAGTGCCGAGGAACTCAAAGCAAAGGAGAAGTTGCAGGTCCCCGGGATCCTCCAACTCGCTATCAAGATGTTCGTGATTCTGAAAGACGTTCATTGAACATGGCCTCCCTCGCAAGAGGCTGTAGTGGCCCGTCCCCTGGCATGGAAGAAGTAACCTCAAATTTACGCATTGTTTAACCCATGCAGAATTTAGTAAAGTTTACATTCTATGAGTAAAGTTGAGTCAGAAGTAAAGTTACATTCTATGAGCTCCTTCCCAAAAGGGATGTCACATTCCATTTTTCAACCGAAAGGTGACGCATGGGGCTATAAGCCTTCTTTCCACTGGTTGATTTATCTGGTGTGTGGATGGAAAGGGAGACAACATACATCTTCGCTAAATAAGGACTCTTTCATGAAGCTCCAAATTGTTTGCTCTATGGCTGGGTGCCATCTCACTTCATACATTACGAGTCTACTAGGCTCCTGTCGAGAGTTGGCAACTTGGCATTGCCAGAATAGCACTGCAGAGAATTGTAGAATCTATTTGGCACGATATGTGAATGCAATCTCTTGAAGAAAGGTCACTAGTTGGCAGACCTTTGCAAATGGAGGCAACGTTTTCCACCTTCCATTTTCCCCCCGAAACCTCGAAGCTAATTTTTGAAGACTAATACTTTTCACATGTCAAGCTTTCGGGTAACTTCCACCCAGAACTGCAGATTCAGAGTCAGACTCGTCGGTCGGAGAGCACTGAAGGCAATCCTAAGACCCAAAGAGTGATGTGAATTCATGGACTCAGTGGACTATTCCTGCCTCCAGAGGTTTGGCCGTAGTCACGTCTTGTTGTCTCGAAGGTTGTCGTGAGATGCCATTTCTAGAAGTCAACTCTAACAGCACCCATAACAGAAACTTTGCCTCTTCCATTTTGAGCTCGGGAGTCATGCACTGCCGTCATATCAGAGGTTAAGGACTCCATCGACTAAGAGCCCAAATGTCCAGTGCCAGATACTTATTGGAATACATCGTACTCTTGAGGTGTCCAGAGTACGCGCAAGTCATCGGAGGATCAGACTTTTGTCGTCCCTCTCCCGTCTCGAACTCAACAACAAACATGCACAGTACATTGCATTACAAGTGGAAGGCCGGAAGCTAATTGCACGCTCAACAACAAAGGATCTGGTGATTCTGGTCAAAGGGAGTCGTTGCGGTAAATCCTTCTGAAAATCCTGAAGATCATCCTGATGGGGAGAGACTCTCAGAAGAGCTAAAATGCTTGACCCCACGTCACAAGGGGATAAAACATTCTTCAGCTTTGCCAAAATGTGGCAGCGTTTGTCAGTCGGGCTTCGGTGCCAGTCCACCGTCACAGCAGAAGCGTTCAACTTTGGCTGAATCATAGCATTGACCCAACTCTCTAATCGTGCCACCAAATTAGCACCGGGCGGAATGGTCAAACTGGCCGGCACGGATTAGACCTCTGGACCTCCTCCTCCCTAAAGCTCCCACCATCTCGAGCTGCAAGAAGAGCACGGATGCAGTTGCAGCCGTGCGAAGAAGAGTCCGCGAGAGGACAAGTCAAATCACAGGCTTCGGGAAATTCTCCAAATCAGCAGCGAGGAATTGTTGTTTGCATCTCCAGCCAGATCGTGCCAGACGATCTGAGTGTTCGCTCAACTGTCTGCCTGGAGGGAGGGACGGACGGACGGACGGAAGGAGAGCAGGGCGATCCACAGTGGATAACACTCGCCCATGGAAGCACGTGGCCCGTGAACGTGGATGCGCTGTTCATGAAGGACATGCTCTGGAAGGAGGCCAGAGCTCGCAGCAGCAGCAGCATCAGACTGCAAGCCCGGGTCAGGCAGGGATCCGACGACTCCAGCCAATTGAACCTGAACCGTCGAGGACGACACGTCGGGGGATGAAGAACATTCCCCGTCTCGCGCAAGTTGAGAAGAAGGCGACCACGTGTTGCGGGGATCCGGTCGAGGGAGGGAGGGAGGAAGGACGGAAAGAATAGAAGCGAAGAGGAGCTCGTGAGGTAATAACGCTGGCAAGAAAGGCCACCGTCGTTCTAGGTCCTCCTTTGCCAGCATGAGCAGGAGCGGTAAGAAATTGAGGGACGGGAAATAGAGATTCACTCACGGCCAGAGTAGCATCGTAGCTTCGAGGACTAGATTATCTGGCATTGACAGTTCTGACTTGCTCGAATGGAAAGTGGTGGGGATGATGATGATTTGTTCACTCGGGATGGATGCTGATCGATTTCGAACCGCGTCCGTCCTCACGAGAGCGAGAGAGGGAGAGTGAATAGAGGTCGAGAGTGTGATCGGACAGAGACTAGATTTGCTTCACAGTGGTGAACGCATAGAGACTTACAATCGGAAGATTTGTCCATTTGTGAAGAGCGGAAGGACCCAAATCCCCAGGTACATTGTGCACAGCAGCATTACATGAATGCTGGAAACTGGAGAATGTCTTTCCTCACCGAAAATTCTGTACATTGCTGGAAAGTGTCACCACGGAGGCCTGCTCCGTATCTTGGGTGGTCGAGTTCGTCCGCACCTGTTTTTGATCCATATTATGCTCAGGGGTAGGTTCGATGGGAGACGGAAATCGCAGCATGTCCTTAATTCCAGCATTTCTGTCCGCTCTCTCGCTGCAATCTTTGTATCTCTCGCTCTCAATTCTGCACTGTCCGTCCGCCCGCAACACGGGTGGGAGGAATTTGAGAAGTTTAGAACGATGCCGGTATTCATGCCCTCGATAACTGTCCAGTGAAATGCCGTCAGAAGGAACTTCGAATGTTCTCGTTCCAGCAGCATTAAAAATAGCCTCTTCCGTTATATTTTGTCTCTCGTCCGAGCACTTTGTGGCCACGGGTAGTTTTCTCGATGTTGGCGCTGCTGCTTGCTTGTCCCAGTTCCTTCCACCAAGTAAGTAAAACAGCTACCCAAATTCGCTGCGTTGCCTCAAATCCTCAGCTAATATAGGGCTTTCACTTTCACGCTTCTTCAACGACGACGGTCAATTTCACCCGCACCTCCGTGTTATTCAGCAGAATCCTACAGTCAAACGTACCATCCACGAGCAGCAATTGCCTTGATTTTTACACGAGTCATCGTCGTCTATGGTAGCCACCATTACTGTCTCTTTCTTCGAACGCCGGGCCTTCAAGACCTTAAACAGCAACGCCAGCCAATCGGCCAACTAGCCAGCCAGCCATGTCCTTGATGTCCTTGAACAAAGCAATTTTACCATCTTCGGATAGATAATCTGCGCAGCACTTTTCACAGACCGAATCCGCCGAATGTAGCCCGTCAATTTTTCCCATCTTCAGATTTCCGCTCGCATGAACCGTCTTGAGATAGGCCGCCAGATCAGATTGGAAATTTCCACATCGGCTCAGTCTTTGGGTCTTGGCTTGAAGATTGATGAAGTCGTATTGTGTTCGTTGCATGGTACACCCTTTGGGAGAGGCGAGAGGGAGTGGCTGTGCATGGAAACCTTTGCCAGGCCGCCACTTTGCTAGTATTGTTAGATGTCGAGCGGCTGTGGAGGCAACTGAAGGCATGCATTTAAGTACAAAGTGCACGTACAGGTGTCACCTGCTAGGTCTTCCAGCTCTGTGCGCATAGATTTCTGAGGCATTACTCCCTAGGCGTTTCTGAACCTGAGGCTGGCATTGCTAGAATCGGGGATTTCTCATTAATCGATACTATGGAATATGGTTGCAGGGCCTTGAGCAGGAAAGGGATGCAGAGTGGCATTTCTGTCGTTCAGCGATTGACGTACCTCGGGACCTTGAAGCATTCGAGACATGTGCTGCAATCGCCGAGTTTTGTTTCGACCCCTGTGAGCAAACGCGCTGCGCATTTGGGATCGATCCCATCGTCTTCCACAGCTCAAGGCTTCGCCGGCACTCAAGTGAGGTCTATCAGCTCCACCCCTTCTAAGGCTCTCGATTCGCAGCAGTCCAGAGCCATAGCCTCCTCTTCAGCTCAAGCACCCCGTGCTCAGGTGAAATGCTCTGTCGCCTCTTCTTCAGCGCATCGCCATCCAGAGGGGAAGACCAAATCTGTTCCCAGCTTCCCGTCGCCAATTCTTGCCACGCAGCTGAGACCCATAGTTACGACTGCAGCTCCGAAGCCGTCTGTTGGCTCCTCGACCAAAAGCTCTCCGCGTGTGAAAGTAAGGGCTTCGTCAAACGTTCACTTTCAAGATAGGAAACTCAAGTTTGAAGATATGGAGGATCTTGTGAAGCCATTGAAGCAGATTCTGCCTGCTTTGCAAGAAGTTGTGCCTTCCCTAGCTCCGAATCGTCACAAAGGACAAGCAGGTGAGCGTGATTCAGTATTTTTCGACTTTGAAATCTTTTGTCTTCCCCTTCGATTCTGCATCAAATGGATGGAGGAATTTTTATAATTTTGAGGAACACCAGAATGTGGGAAGTTGAAAAAAGCGTGTGTTGGATGTAGAGTCTAGCACCAGCGTCGTGTTTGAATCCTGTGACAGGTGCTATCTATGAAAACTTCACAACTACGTGCTGACATTTGTGGTTTAGTTTCATGTTGAAGAATTGAGGCCCGATATTTGCACACATTACAGCTCTCCTATGACTTTGGTGGGTGTTAGGCAAAATTGCCGTTATAGGAGGATGCAGAGAATACACCGGAGCTCCGTATTATGCTGCGTTTTCTGCTCTTAGGATGGTAAGACGCCCGAGATCTCTGCTTTTCCACTTTCTCTTCCAAAGAGCCTCATTCTTTAGTGAGGCTGTTTTGAATCACATGAATTGTTCGAGTCCCACCTGGCAACTATGGCGGAGTCTTTTTATGTGCGTGGTCATGTATTTCTGACTGTATATGTCGCTGTTTAGGACAAAATATTCCGTCTGACATGTAATCAGTGGGTAGTCAATGATATGACCACTGTCTAGGTGTCTTCAAAATTATCGTCATCAATTGACGCTTCATGCAAACGATTTCTTCTCTCGCAACGCAGAGACCGCCATAGACATGGATACCTCTTTCGAACTACTAGACCCAACCCCCGACCAAGTCGTGGGTTTCTGAGCCTCACGACATTAAGTTTCACATTAGCTCTGTCAACAATGTTCCAATCCGTTGTATCTTAGACGGTGCATGAAATGAAATGTGTTGTCAATGGCTGAGGTGACAGCTTAGAACCTCAGAGTTTGAGGATGTCGAAGTAACTCTCCCGGGATAACGGGAATGTTTGTCTATAGGGGTGACAAGTACTTTCTCTTTTTTTGCTTTGGAGTATAAGGAGCGTATATTTACCATGCATAAGATGATGCTGACACCATCCTTCACATCTGAAAGACTCGTATGCCAATTTTGATGGAACAGGGAGCAGACCTTTCCCATGTATTTTGCACTGAAGGAGCTGGAACGGTTATAAAGAGCTACAGCCCAGAGCTAATTGTGCATCCAGTTTTGAGGGAAAGTCATGACACCAAGTAAGTACCGTATCAGACTAGTGACAGACAAGGACATCTTTGGGTCGACTTTCTGTCAACACTTAGTAGTCTTCTTAGGTGAAAGACCGTGTGGAAATGTCGCTAGCAGTCGTTACATCTGCTTCTTCACGAACAACTGGGAAGAGTTCCAGATTGTTTGGTGAAGTCTTCTGTCAAGTTCAATATGTTTTGATCAAGAAGGTATCGTGTCTTCATTTTTGTCTCGTGCAGCTCAGAAAACCTTAGCGGGCGCAAGTTGGTGGAGAAGGTTGTGGGTGACGTTGGAAAGTGGCTTGAAAGGTTCGACTGTTTGGTCATAGGTCCTGGTCTGGGCCGAGATGAATTGCTCATGGTAGGTATTTCCGATTTCGCATTGCTTCTGTTTAAAGATTTCACTGCAAGGCTGATGTAGAATATAAACGGAGAGGATCTCAACGGACGTTAACCAATCCCGTTGTGGGTTTGGAGTGATGCAGGAATGCGTATCTGAGATTATTCTCATGGCTAGAGAAAATAATACCCCAATGATTATCGACGGGGTATGTACATTGACTTTACCAGTGGTTCCAGTACATCTATGAATTTAGATTCTACAACGCCGTTTCCCTCTGAAGGTGGACATGACAATTAGAAACTCTCTCTCTCAAGGACCCTCTCTGCTGAAATGAGTGAGTGCCTTTGAGGCGGCATTAGCTTGTAGCTGGCTTTTGAATGCAAAGGTCGACTGAAAGAGTCATCTGATCCTCAATGCGGTTATGTTTCAGGATGGACTGTTCCTTGTCACAAACCAGCCGGAACTGATTAGTGGATACCCCTTAGCCGTCTTGACTCCGAACGTAATGGAGCACAAGCGCCTAGTGGGCAAGATGATGGAAGGAAAGAAGGGCGTGCCGGAGGACATGCCCAGCCAGTTGAAAGCTCTTGCGGAGCGGTATTACTTCATTCTTTGCAAACTTTAGCTTTTCTTCTAGCTTTGCCTTGTAGAGCTAAACTTTGAAGTACGAAGTTTCTGTTATGGTTGCATCAATGTAAAGGGAATATAGCGGTGCATATGCTCCACAAGTACTTCCTAGGAGGACTTGTGTAACATACTGCCTATGCGAGAGGTGTAGAATTCGCTGCGATTATGTTTGCCTGGAACTCCTCTAATCTGTAAATATGGTCTTGGGCGCAGGATGGGAGGAGTTACGATTGTACAAAAAGGAAAATTGGACCTTATTAGCGATGGCAATATAGGTCAGCTGAAGCTTAAACTACACTTCCTTTGTCTGTCAGTGCAAGAAGGCATGGGATAGCTTGTCTTGAATGTCGAACAGTGAGAAATAATAGTTAATGCTATGTATAGGAGGTTTGCAACCCACACCATATTTTGATGCTTCTCTGGAGTTTTTCGTTTCATCCAGTCTTTATTGCCCTTAGAGGAGTCTGTAGTCCAGGAACGCAGTCTGTGCTCTTGAGGCCGAGACAGGCACATTCTAATGATGGCAGATTGTTTCGTATGAGGAACCAGTTTTGATGATATTTTTCCTTCGTCTGACCTGATCTTTCGATGTTATTTACTGCTTGCAGTGATTGCTTCTGATTATTTTGGGTCTCCACGACGTTGTGGCGGTCAAGGAGACGTCTTGTCTGGGAGGTATGGTAATCTGGCGGGAATGTTCAATCTTTAATAATCATGTTTTACTTGATAACTCTCGTTTTTAAGACGAAAGTTGATGGGAGGAGATTCGATACACTTTTCTCAACTATCGCTACTACGTTAACTTTTTGGATCTGTATTTGGTTCTTGGGAACTCTCGAAAATAAAAGCTTGTTCATATTGCAGCACGGCTGTTTTCTTCTCGTGGGCTCGGCAATATATGGCGACGGGAGATGGCAAGGCTGTAGCAGATATCTCAGAGAGGTGAACGTCTTCTCATTGTTTTCAACTTCGGAATATTCGGATTCTGAGATTGTGGCAAAGACCATGTGAGAATACGGACTATTGTGTCCTTTGAGAAAATTTACTCGTGACGGATGTATCTAATTTATTTATGGTGTGCAGAATCTCCAGCAATCCCGCTATTGTGGGAGCTCTGGCTGGTTCCCTCCTTTTACGGAAATCAGCAGGTGATGCATTTTCCAAACACAAACGGAGCACGTTAACGACTGATATAATCGATTCGCTGGGTCCCAGGTCAAGCTCCCCAGCAATACCTCAAAAGTTATATGTATTGTCCGAGATTCATGTAAAAATCTTTCATTCAAAGATTCTGCAGTACAACTAACGTCCTCTACTTTTGATTGTTTTTTGCTGATCTCAGCATGGAAGAGTTTTTCCCGGTTCAGGTGTGACTGCTGGAGAAGTCGGGCCCTTACGTGAATTCAAGAATTTGAAGTCGAATGTAAAAGAAAAAAAACATTGTAGTCAGTGGTGGCGGTGAGCTTCTTCCATGCATCGGATCAGTTAGATACAGACACACGGTATATATTGTAGAGGCGGAGACGTACAAGGATCCCTTACATATGGGCGAACTTATTACGTCCCATGAGATTGTTGGGCTTCCATTAGCATTAGGAGTAGCGTCGCAACAACAAAAACAACAAGAAATTCTGCATTGGCAGAGATCTGTTGTAATCTTCGGCCATTGCATGGTGCAATCTGGGTGGACATGTGAACTGTAACTTGTAGAAAATATATTTATTAAAGTCGACGACGTATTTCTGTTCCATCACATCGTTATATGAGGAAGGCTGCGCTGTAGCGTGTCCTTGTCCAAAAGTTTATGGCTTCCACTTTTTTTTGTGTACACTGGTGGTATCTTCAGTAGGAGAACCCCCTTTTTGTACCCGCAGACTAGGGCTTGCAACTTCCAGGTATTTTTGTATAAATTCACGAAGAAAGTTAAACATAGTGGACGTTAACCAGTTAAAAGTGATCCTCTTATTCCTGGAACATATCTGCCAATGAATGAGAAGGTGACGAGGTCCCGGTTGACCGGCAACATGTATGACGGTTCTCGATTTGACTGATCGGTGTTGCTAGAGCCAACAAAAGAGGCAGAATATCTTCTTGTCTGCTGAGATGGACATGACACAAGTTGAGAATGTTCGAAACGTGCAAGCTGTCTCACACAAAAGTGCACTTTGCGTTCACTGGGAAACAAGGTCAACTTTCCATCTTGTTTCAGGTAACATGACCTGTGTAGCCTGGATTGGACCTTTCAACTTGACTCACATTTCCTACTTCGCGCATTTTAAGCTAGAGGATGTCAAACGCAACTCCCCAAAGGAAGTTTTTCAGCTTCTGTTACGACCTCACGGCAGGTAGATGTGGTTATCTGACACGTGAACGAGGAGGAAGAGGAGACATTCTTTCACTTACGGACCATTCCCACAACCGTAGAAACTTACATCATCGCGTAATCTTTCTCTCGGTAGCAGAACTGGAAAGCAAGATGAAGAAAAGACTCGTGAGAGCTCTCCTCCCAACCACGCTATACCTGCCGCTAAGCAGTCAAGAGTGTGTTCTCCTAGTCTTCTTCTATTCCTTCTTCAACTACTAAACAGTTGATTAAGAATAATTTATGTTCATGAGCATGCGAACGCAGCAAGTACTAAAGGGCAGAAAAACGGTTTATGACAAAGTGGCAGAAATTGTTAACAACGGTCCTGCTCGTAAGCAGAAGCAACATGTGCATGAAGAGCCGAGAGTGGAATCACAGAAGGGAGCACGCCAGGGCAGAGAAGGGTACGGCGCTCGGCAACCCAACCGAGACCTGTGAAGTGGGAGTGCCAAAGGGTGAGTGTGAGTACAGATGATTTCTACAGCTTCACGAAAAGTTGGAGAAGATGAAAGTTTGTGTTGAACATCGAAGAGCACACCAAAGGGAGCGTACTACTGCACAACCTTATCAGAGACACCATCCACGGCTGACAAATCAAGCGAGTAACAAGAGCATTAGCAGCAGTCAAGGGAATGAATACGACGCCCATAAAGTCTGTGTCTGTAGTTCTCGTTTTATCGGTATCCAGCAGTCCCGGAACCTCTCCCATGTTATCCATCATCTTCAACTCGGAAGCCCAACATGCCCCCTCCAATACCGCAGTTAGCAGTTCGGTCCGGCCAGTCCGCCCCAGTTCTGCTCCTCCTCCTCCTCCTCCTCCTGTCCCTTGGCATGACCGTTGTCCTTCCATCCCCTTTCCATCTTGCAAGTTCCTTCTTGGGGTACGAATCTGGCAGCAGGAGGACGAGGAAGGGGAGACTCACCCGCCAAGACTGCCCAAGTGACGCGAGTACACCAAGTCGCCGGGGATGAGTTTCCTGCCAGAGCCCTTCCACCGAGTGACAAATGTCCTGGAAAGGTGACATTCGACGACTGGGTCCAGCCCTATGACTCCAGCCAAGCGGCCAGCCTTAACCCGGCTCTACATGAATGGAAGAATTGATTCTCTATCAGGCAGATTCCTTACAAAGCTGTGCCTATCAACTGTTGGGGCGGCATTATCTGCCTCTTCCTTCCTCTGCTAGGCCGAGGAATAAAAAATAATGGATGTATAAAAATATGCATTCCTTCCCTTCCTCTCTCTGTATTTCTCCTTCCGTCCATACATCCACTATATCACGTTCCGAGATGGCACCCAATCTGAAAATAGAGCTGAAACGATATTAAGTATTCAAAAGCCAGGGAGTATGGTGAACGAATTACTGTATACTGATGATTGAAACGAAGGGATTGTGGTGTTGGCGTGAGGCTACGTCTTCATCACTGTGGCCTCCCGTGAAGCGGAGAAGTATTTTGTTGTTTTAGGAACAGCTCCTGGTTTCGAGGGGAGTATTAATGGCCCTCTGGGCCCGTTGACGTTTTTCAACCCCTCATTGTATGACCTCTGTGCCAAGACCTCCTCCTCCTCCTCCTCCTCCCTGTCTCGCTGTCTCGCTGTCTGTCTATTATTTCTACATTTTGAATTCTCAGCGAGGCGATGATAAAAGTGTCGGAAGCAAGAAGCTGCTCGCCCTCTTGCAGCACCTACAATCTGCGTTTCGGGCACCTACTCAGTTATGACGACGTTCTGTCTCATGACTTTCGTCTAGTCCCGGCTCGTCCCATCCCTTGTTGGCTATCCTTGTCTAGTCTGCATGGGTCTGGACGATTCCGGCTCCTCTAAAACCCCTTGTCCTGCCGACGAGCGAAGTCGGCGTCCCTTACGGGTAGCCCCTGGCTCCGTCTGCTGCTTTGCAAGGCGAGGTACGACAGACTTGAGGAGGCAAAGTCCTTTCTTTTTTTATTGTGTATGTGGCAGAATCTGACACAGTCAAACAGGCGAAGAGAAACCTCCACGAGTGACCGCAAGAGTGTCGGGGACTCAGTGAGCCGAAGGGTCAGGCAGGCTGGGCTGGGTTGTCTGGCTGGCTGACCCTCGTATGGAACGATGCAATGCGGCAGCCGGCAGCAGAAGCTGTGTGCGAGCTCCAGGGATGAGCTGAGGTGAGGGGCTGCAGACAAATTCACTGGACGGAACAGAACAATCTCAAATTTGAACAAATGTGCCTCCGACACGGGATACGCAGCGATGAGAAGAACAAGGAGGCGGGGCAGGCAGTATGGCCCAAGCAAGTCGATCTTCGGTTGCCATCAACAGCTGCTATTGTCGGCAACTTTGTATTATTCAACTGTCCTTACAAATTTGACTTAAGAGCCGAAGTTGTCAGGGAGGTGTGGAGCGCGGCAACCAACACCAATCCAGTAAAATGACCGATCAGTGATCAATAATAAGAATTCTAAACATGGAGTCGAAGACAATATCAGCTGGTCGTTGTTGTTGTTGTTGTTTATAACAATGAGGTTTCCCTCTCTGTCTGTCTCTGTGTCCCTCGTTCGAACGAGAGAATTTCATTAGGCTTTGTACGTTGTTGAAGGAGCGAGAGGCTTCAGTAACCCGTCTAACTCTCGGGCCAATATCGACCTTCCCGGTCACAGAATAGAGCTCCGTCTACTTGACAATTGCCATAGACGAGGACGCAAGGAGATCCCCAATGCCACTGTCCTGTCCGTCCAATTCTACAATTCCATGTTCCGCTGTCACACCTACAATTTTCATCCTGAATGGCAGTGGCCCATTTGAGCTCTCTGTCTGCCTGCCTGCCTGTCTGTCTGTCTGTCTGTCTGTCTGTCAATCTCTCTGTTTGTTCCTGTCTTTACATTGTGAAGTTTGCAAGAATCATTGAATGGAGAAAATTTTGGACACGATGATGATGGCGATGTTCGAACAGAACTGAACCGAAACGAAACGCAACGAATCGAACCCAACCCAACCCAATCGAAACCAACTGAACCGAAACGAACCGCACACCGCGACCGTCTCGTCCCAGGATCCATCAAAGAATGGCCGACTGGCCTCAAACCCCGAACGCACGTAACCGAATTCTGTACACTCTCAGCGGCTAAACGCAAGCGTCGAGCCTCGGGTGGAAAGGGAAGGCTGCAAAGCGCTGCGCAAAGCCTTGGACGAAAGGGCAGCTCGGAAGCCACCTCCAAGTTCTTCCCGACACAGAGTAGGCCAGAATCTCCCTTCTGGCGATGACGAAGCAGAGCAGATCGTCGTGGCCGAAGTAGCTAAACAAGCGGCTGTTGGACATGGCGATCACCTCGCCGAGCAAATTGTCGGGCATGGTGTCCAGCTTCACCCACTCGTCGGACTCCTCCGCTCCGACGACGCCACGCTGATCCTTCTCCCATATCGAGACCGTCCTCATCACGAACCTCTCGCTCACCACTTCCACCATCAACAACCGGCCCCTGCATTCGCAAATCTGAGGCATTATGAGATTCGAGCACTGCGTCACCGGAGGCCCTCTCATCTCGCTCCATGTCTCCTTCGCCACATCGTAAATCATGATCACCGAGAATCCGGCGCTGTACAGAAATCCATTGCAGTACACGGCATTGGTCTGGAAGTGGTGCCTCAGAGGCCTGCTTCTCAGCTGACTCCAGCTCTTTGTGTTGGAATCGTACACCTCGGTCTTCAAATCTGTGGCTTGCACTCCGCTCCCGTGGCTTCCTGCTACGACGACACGATAGGAATCCTGCTCCCCGGGGTTCTTATCGGCCACCATCCCCACAATCGGGTACTTACATTTCCAGGGCTTGGGAGTCAAGTGCACGTAGGTCTTGGTGAAGGGATTGCAGACCATGAGAGAATCGTCCCTCCTGCGCACGCACAGCAAGCCTCCGGCGGTGGCCACCACTCGCACTCTCGGGGACGGGAGGAAGTGGAGAGGAATATTGATCCATCTGTCCATGCTCGGATTGAAAGCCACACACTCTCGGGCAGAGCCTCGGAAGATCAACCACGGGCTCTCGGAGTGGTGGAATCGGCGGCCCTGGTGCCAGGACGAGAGGAAGATCGGCGAGTAGAGCATGGATTGCCATTTTCGACAGACGGCCCGGAAGCGCAGCAGCGCGTGCAGGGGGAGGTGCGGGAGGATGGCTTCGATCAGAGTCTCGGGCAGATGGCACCAGATTTCCGTGACCAGGGGCTCCTGGCCTTCGCCAGTGCTCTCGAGAAGATCGAGCACCGACGGCTGCGGGCAGGCGAGCAGATTCTTGTGCGTCAATGAGAACGGATTGCGTCTCCTGTCCCGCGAATAATCCGAGAAATCGCTGTCCGTCGACGCCCTGTGATTGTACTTGTGAAAACTGCGCCGGTGCGCGATGTCGCCCAACTGCCTCACCTGCAGCTGCGCCAGCCTCTCCCACACGTTGTCCATGGTGGCCTCCCGCGTGCTCCAATTCCTCCTCCTCCAAACAGAATTACTCTCCCCAGCATCGAAGACAATCACCAATGCCCCGATCGAGCACGCTCCTCGCCACCTGATGACAATCGGCCCGAGAATCCCATCCTCATGAGAAGAGAGCCTGTGACGGCACCATCAGCAGCAGCAGAACAACAACATCAACCAGAGGAATGATGAGCCCCGCGGATCCCTGGGCTGAAGCACGGCAAGCATGGCTGGGGAGCATGAACCGAGATCCGGGAGCCCACTAAATTTGGCCCGGAGCACCGCGAGGAGCACAAGCGGCGGCAGCAGAGGCTCGTATTCAAGCGAGGGGCCGCGGCCGCTGCCTCGAACGATGGTTGACGATTCATCAACTTCATCCGTTGACACGGAGCGAGGAGGTGCTGCTGGAGCTGCTGCTGATGCTAGAGCAACCTCTGGACCTACACTCGCCGCTCGTCCTCACCGCGACTGGTTGCTCTCTTCTCTGGCCCCCTGAACTAGCCCCATAGCCCCATAGATGCATGCGCTCGCTCGCTCGCTTCGTGGACGAGCGAGTGACCTCGCGGCTGTGCGCTGGAAACTGGCTCACTGTTCCCAGTAGCTGGGCACTGCACTGCTACTGTGCGCACGTTTGTTCACTGAAAGGCGCAGTGAAAGAATTTGAGAGGTAAATCTGGTGATCACGGGCGAGCGAGGGACGGAGGGGTGGTCGAAGGGAGACAGTGGAGCTGAGCTGAAATGAGATGAAAGACGAGGTAATTGACGGGAGGAATTTATCGACGGGACAAGAGGGAGGAAAGAGAGATCGGAAGCAAAGTGGAGAGAGAAGGATGAGATCCGAGCAGAAGAAGAAGGTGCAAACGGACGAACGTGAGCCCTGGGAGGAAGAGAGATGAATTTCAATCTCGAGGAGGATGGGAGAAGAACACGACGGGGTCAAACTCGCGCAAGCTGCCAAAGAGTTTTTAATTTTTATTTCGCTCTCGCACAAGCTATGATCCCCCACCACGTCCGCCTGTCTGATGATGTCTACTGACAATGCTCTCTCCCTACCTCTAACTGTCTCTGAGTCTCGACTGCCGCTTCTCGTTCTGTCATCGTTCCACGTTCGTGGTGCTTCGAGACTCCGTCCGATTGCCGAGTCTCGCCGCCCCTCCACTCTTCTCTCTCGTCTTGCATCTCCCGCCAATCCCGTCAGCCTCAGACTAGTATTATAGTATTATTCCTTTAAGAAGAGGTCGGATACAATCTAGTATGTACTGGTGGCCCGCCCCCGCGAGCGCCCCCCACCACTTCCGGAAGCGGAGGAGAGTTTCTCACGCAATCAGTAATCATTCATTCAATCTGCACCGAATCCACTCACCTCTATCACGCCAAGGATAGGGCGAGGCCCGTCCCATTCAAATCGCATGCAGTGCCCAAGACAGCAACTCTCCTCGACCTCTCTCTCTCTCTCTCCTGTGCTCCCATTCGCAAAGCACTTTCTTCCCCGGGGGGTGTTGGCTCCGGTAGGCAGTTGTGCCTGTCTGTGCCTGCCTGCCTGCCTTCCTAGAACGCAACGGACATGTAACGGTACGCTAACATGCACAATGGACCGAAGGAGGAACAGGAGGGGCAGCGGCCACTCTACCCCTGCGACCTGTGACTGTTTCGATGACTTACACACGTACTCAGCAAATAAATAAAATCCCTCCTCCTCCTCGTCCTGCGACTGCTTGTCTGCCTTCCTTCCTTCCTTCGTCCATCCCTCCCTCGCTCCCTCCTCCCTCCAACTATCAACTATCAACTTTTCCATTATCAATCAAGTGAGCAATCGACACAACGCAACCACTCAATGCGCTGCTGCGCTTTATTGGTTGCAGTAGCAGCAGCAGCAGCAGTGCTAGCTCCGTCTCCCATCACACTCTACTACACTCCTCTGACTACGCTGGGAAGCTCGAGAGTCGGCCGCTATTGCACCGCGGTGTCCTGCGATTCCGGCGCTCGATCTCTCTCGCTGTTCGTACCTTTGCTGCACCGATCTGCACTACTCTTTACTCGCCTGCAGGAATGCCTGCCTGCCTCCAGACCGCATTGAGAAGTGATCCATGATCAGTCCACTGCCAATTCCACCCCAGCTCAGCAGCCTCGCTGCCTCCCCTTCAACCTCAGTTCTCTTACGGTGGTTCCCCACCCACCCGTGTGCGCACTGCTGCTACCATCTCATCGTCCCCGTCCCCGTCCCCCGGGCCTTGGGATGGGATGGAATGGTCGTCCGGAGAACCGGCGCCTAGGCGTCCAGTTTACCGGGAGGAAGATCGGAACTTCCCAGATTACCGTATTTGTACAGAAATATCGTGGAGACGTATAATATCGACCCGATTCGTGGAAAGCAAACGGGGAACGGACGGCGATTGACAAGTTCCCCGGGAACATTACCGGCCCGTCGTTGTTTGCGAGTGCCTCCTCGAAGCTCACGCTACTGCGCTCTCGGGACGTCACTTATTCAAAGGCCGTACTCCGTCCCTTTCGTCTGGGACGTAAGCCGATCTGACGTCCGGGGAATTCGTTAAGCAGTCCTTCACGTCGGAGCGTAACATGGGCTTTCCCGCTGTATTTCTATGTTAACTATTGTCAAAGGGTCTTAATAACGAGGAAAGTCCCCGACAAGATTCCAATGATTTTCCAGACGTAGTGATACTTCGTACCACACTTCATTCCATCCCAGAAAACTAGGAAACCTGTGCTTAGAGCTTAACATTGACTTTACTACTAGTCCTTGTATTGCAATTGTTAAGGAAAATGATCGCTAATTTCTGAGTCAATTCTTATTACAATTAGTTTGTGCTGTTCTTTCTCAACACCGTCTTCAACGAACTCATGTCGATATAGTTATTAACCGATACATTTAAGATATTGGTAGGTATGTAGAGATCGATATGAGTGAAACCTTATCAAGAATGAGACTGGGTTCAAGACGCATGGAAAAACCAGTAGACTCAAATACAAGCAGTTAAAGAAAGATCTAACCTGAGGGACAAAAGGGAAAGAGATTTAATTTCTCGTGAGAAACTACTATGTTGCCTCATACCTGCAAATATTCGTTTCAAATTATAAGGATTTTTTTGCATCTCCATCATTAATCAAAAATTTATTTCTTTCAATATTTAGAGACTAATCACATTGTAAATGCAGTACATATATGCTGTGTACTGCTCTATACGCAGTACGGAAAAGACTGCTGTGCACCACATGAAACTCTTCATTACCAGCGGAGAAGCTTAATTACCATCACCTTTCGAATATGGACCTCCGGGTCTTCAGGTAGAAGTTGGCGCAAGAGTCCGTACCTTGATATGTGCTGACTTGACTCTAGATCTTGTATTTCGCTCTTCTCCCTATATGCCTAAACAAACAACAACAATGAACCCTGACATGAATATTTGACGACTCTGGTTCATATTTATTGATACTGACGAGGTCTACCAGTTTACGCTTTTCACTTGTACAAAAGACTAAAACTCAATCTCCTCGGATCTTAGTCTATATTTTATAAGTATTCCGAAAAGTCCGTATCAAATCAAAAGACGTGACCCATCTCAGATTTGCAGGGTATTTTGCGTTTGTATAGTTCTGTCAGGTACGGATTGGGCCGATTCTGAAGGATAGAGAAGGTCTGTGCACTTTGACTCGTGAACGAGTTGATCCCATTTGCAGAGGGTTTGTTCATCGATATATCTTTGTTGAAAACATGGATGCAGGGGTACTTCTCATGGATCTGATATGCGCGTTTCAATTTTCAAAGGCCAATTGCTTTCGGATTATAGATCTCATCTTTGGCCCTTTCCATGGCCCACGTCTTCTTGAACAGATCATGTTACGAGTACCGCAAAGTGTTTTAGTTAGGAGCGAGAGCACCCTAAGAAATCAGCATTTTGTATCAATGGTAAGTAAATATGAAAATGTCCTCTTTGATTCTGCACTTTTCTAGTTTTCTCTGTATGATTCTGTTTAGATTATTTTCTCGATTCTTTCCCACGTGATGTACTCTATATCGAAGACTTTTAAACTATGGCGAGTTCGTGCTAGGCTTGAAAGCGATTGGCGCGGTACATGAGACTAAGAGAAGCTGAGTAGAAAGATTGGGAAGTAGTTAATTCTGTTGGAATCCAGGTGAAATGTATATGTTCTGTCTAATCTTATCTCAGTATAAACATGTTGCACGCACAAGCTGCAAAAGCTTGTCAACTTGTGGAGATTGAGGGGAACGGATCATAACTTCAGGTGATAGCGGAATGTGTCTTCCATATTCCCACTACTTTGTGAAATATCTTCAGGGCAAGATTTCCCGTTTACCTATAAACGTCGAGTGTTCAACAAGCATATGTGGCATGAACAGGAATCTCACTACTGCACAGCACTTTACGTGCACTCTTTTATTCTTTACTTGGTGCCCCCCTCTTTTCTTTATGTGCAAGCCGAAGTTTTATCATTTACTGTATCTTTGCCACGAGTTACTTACGTTGGCTCCCAAAACAACGAGAATTGCTCGTATTTATCTGCCCACAAGATATTGGAGACCACTTTAAATGTACCGGGACTATAGTAGCCGGCAGTTAATCTCGTACAATACTAGAGCAATACCATGTTTTTCGCAGTTGTCATGGAATCAGGTTTACAGTGGTCGGTCTTTCTCCTATCCAAGTCTCGTCGTGGGTTCTGTCCACAACATTTCTGACGTGTACAATCAATCTATCGTACCAAGGTCGGTCCAGAGATCGGTAGGAACTTGAGACTACATCAGCTGTGCTCACGTCCGGCAGGAAACGACTTGGAAACTGGCTGTTGGAAAGTTACGCGACTTGTATACATGCACGTGCCTTTCCACGTAACACTGTGACTGAATTCGCAATTTCTTTTCATCCTCGCCATGCATCTCGGACCTTTGGTTTGTAACTATGTTTCCTGGATAAAGATGGACCGCATACCAGATATATGTTTCGAATTTAAGTTGCATCTCTGTCTATGAAGGATTTTTTCGACAATATTGCTATGGGTGTGTCGGTACGTGCAACACTTTTTATTTAACCTCTTCAAGGTTTCTACACTGAAGGTTTCCAAGGAAAAGTAAGTTTGAAAAGTAATAACTTTTAATTGTTGTCTCTTCGTATATTTAAAAATTCTCTTTCTGTGCAACACTTCTCGAAGACAACCGATGACTATAAAGAGGAAGGCATAATTGCATCCACATGGTCCATAATGTTGTATAGAAAAAAAATGATAATTTTTACTGAGACAAGAATTAATCTAAAAAGCATATTCTACAACTACCTTTTAAATGTTATTTTTCTATTATTTATATACTTCTTTCGTCTTTGATGGTCAATGAAAGTTACACGATGGAAGTGTTGGGTTTATTTTAGCATATGAATTCAACTTGCAGGGACAAGCATCTTATAATTCCTAAATGCCAAATTCGTGTTCGCATCTCATGTTTGATTGATTTGTGTAGATCCTTTGATATGCGGTGGTTTTGAGTCATTTGCCACTCACGAGCTGTGAGCTGGAAAGGAACAAATACTCTGATAAGGAAAAGAGGACTGTGTATGTCGGGTAACTTGCACTATGGTTCTGAAATGAAATCAAGAGTAGATCTGTAAGTTGTGGAGAACACTTATTCAATTATTTTGGATTGTGTCTGTTTCCAGGATGATTGAATCTCGAAAATAGCAGATTTCAAAGGATCAAAGCAAACAATAAGCTTCCTACGCCCTGGATGTCGAATATGATATGCTGCAATATTAAAATGTTTTCTGAATCATTACGGTATGTATTTACAGAACTTTAGATTCACGTACTGCTGTGTTCTCCTGTACATCTGAATAGCTTGAGCATAACTCTGAATACAGGTTCAAAATACTGTATTCTCCTCCCGGGGGATAGTTGGTAGATTATGAACCACACGTGGACCGTAAATCAACAATGATACACATAAGATAGACATAGGTCAAAAGTATCAACAACATATAGTTCCAGTGTACTCAGAGGAAGGTCGGATCGAGGACAAGCTACATGAAGATACTCTCTCCGGGAAGAAGACAGACACTACCGCTAATAGGCACCAAGTCAGGGAGTGAAGAGTGCACCTTTTCGTAAAGTGTCCGATCAACAATGCATGTGGTCAGAGTTATGGTATCCAGATAGAAAAGGTGGATACTGTATGCAGTAAAAGTAGCTCACTACTTACATAGCCGCATCTCTAGCTAAGTCGAGCGCGTGTACAAAAGTAGATCCGAAATTTCACTTAAGTGCACTCTACTCTTGCATAGTCTATTTTATTCGAACTATAGATGTCACTGTATATATTGTGACTTGTATTATACATGTATATGTATAATATACATATGTTGCAGTGATGATGAATAAAGTCAGAATTTGAAATTGCGCCTAGTTATATATATTGCTTATTTTATCTTGAGATCTTAATGTCTAATTTAGATATCAAGGGAATTATTCTTCAAAAATACTACAATTACTCTTCATATTCGGCACAATTATATTCTTACAACGTGTGAGAACCAAAGTTCATCCTTTCAATTTACTCTCCGCTCTCACCTCACTCCCGCAGCCGGCCCCATGATTCAAACCAATTGATGTAGCCCCATTACCACTTTCATTCACGTCAAATTTGGTCGGGTCACCCCAATTTTACTTATTGTACTTTGTGTCAAATTTGATGTAACTTAAACCAATTAAAACTGTTGCAGGTTCTATGTTCGTAATGCTCACCATCTTCAAATCATCCACTCTTACACATCTGTTATTCATAGTTTCAAGCAACTGACCAAAGCTCCTGAAGCTCAAATGGAGGAAATTTTTGTATCTCATAGCAGAATGTTTAATAATATTTGAGATCAAGTTGAATTCATACAGCATAGTTGAGAAAAATAGTGTTGTGTAGTGTAAATGAAAGAAAATGTCTCAGTGTCTGCAAGATGACTTGCAATCAATTTCGCCTAAGCCGACAAGAATTCAAAATTTATATTCCAGATGGTTTTCATTGTGAACTTTTTAACACCAAGTCTGCAAAGCACCTACCAGAATGTATTACGTTACAGATTTTTGGACGGGTTGAT